ATTCTCACAATCAAGTAAGCTAGAGAAAAGAAAATATTAAGAAAATCACAAGGAAGATAAAATATATTCACTGTTTACTTAGTGAAAGTGGATCATCATAAGGGTTTTTGTCCTCATCTTCACACTGACTGGGCTGAGGAGGTGGAGGAAGAGGAGGGGTTGGTCTTGTCTCAGGGGTGGCAGAGGCAGAAGACGTAGAGGAAGTGGAAGGGGAGGCAGGCACACTTGGTGTAATTTTTACTGAAAAAATCCACAAGGACCCTCATAGTTCAAACTCGTTTTGTTCAAGGGTCAAGTGTACATCGACTCTAAGTTGGGTCCTTTAGCAGCAAGTAATAGACCCTGGCTGTGTTAAGTCACACAGAGCAGGTACTGGAAGGATATGATATCAACAGTTCCTATTATTGGCAGCTGGTAGGAGAACGGGCTTCTAAAACTCAGCTATTTGACATCAAGTTGGCCATCCTAGGTCACTGTGGTTGCCACTGTTTCTAAGGTGACATTGACTTTCCTCATTCTCTGTTCCATAGTGGCTTCCTTTTCAGGCACGGGTCAGGTGATCAGAGTCCATTTTCCAGTGGCATGACCCAAACCTTAGGTCCTCAGGGATATGTGCCCTTGCTTCTGCCATATAAGGTTGCAATGGTTTCCCACTAACTATTGCACTAGTGCTGGTTGTAGGCTGGATAACTGCAGGGGTTACCCCAATTTCATGCACATTCTTCCCTATCCCCATCACATGGCAGCAAATCCATCTTCCCTTGACAAGTACAATAAGATCATCCATTACCAGGATTCTGTTCAGCCAGTAGAAGGAGCAACCAGAAATGGCAAAGTAGAACAGATCTTTTCCCTCACTGGGAGTGACTGGCACTAGTAACCCCCTTGGATTTGAAATTGTCAAGAAATAGTTCTGACTGAGGTTAATCAGTAGAGCTAAATTGCCTAGTTCCATGACCTTGCCAGGAACCCAGTTTTGTGGTTGATGTGTCCGCAGTGTCGATAAGCCCAGTGATCACTCCTTCGACCATTTTACCTTCTTCCTGGAGTAACTTCAGGATTTGAACGCGTGTCATCCTGAGCCTTTCCTCCAGGGGGTCCTCTTGTGAGTGATGGGTGTCCAGGTGAGTGGTGGGTGAGGGGTAATAGTGAAGTCCCTGTCTTGGCTAGCAACAGACACCGGCACATCTCACTGTCGGACAAAAGGAGAAGCAGCCACCATAAACCTTCCTCAAGCTTCCTGGCCCTTTCACATTGCTTGTGTGGTCTGAATTATCTCACATGTTTGTTTTCTTGGTTGCTCAGGTGAACTCCGTGAAGGGAGGGATCCACAAAAGTGTCCGGTAGACTCTTTGCATGGCCCAAGTTCAATCTTGCAAGGGACAGTTTATGAATCAGGGACCCACCTGCAGGGTCATGAGCTTGGCCATAGCTGGAAGGTCATGTTGCAAAGCCATTAAACCCATCAAGGGAGGGCTGATATTCTTGGACTGACTGGAGCTGTAGGGCTTTCCAAAAGAGTAGAGTACCCATATGCACTTTACTAGGTCTGCCCACAAAAGTGGATCTGACTATATAAATGTTAAAGAGCATTTATAAACTCAGTGAAATTGAGCATTACATAAATGCTGTTTCATCTCGGCACAGTTAAAACGCAGCTGCTGTGACATGTTTTAGGTATTGCATATGTACATACATATATATGTGCAAGTATGTTCATATTCATGTTTTTCACAAATTATCTTATTTCAAGATTAAGTTGGATGTGATATTATGACTTGTACATGACTATGTACTCACACATGCTTTCTAAAGTATGAATAAAATTAAATCATATTTTTCCCCTCTTAAGTCAGTCAAAATGGGGAAATTATACTGAGTTAGTGGATATGTGCGAGGAAAAATAAACGTGTGTTATCATTAAGTAAGCAGAGCTTCGAGTTGTGCAGTTAGAGAAAAATTGAAGTGCAGAACTAAGCAAATAAATGGTGAATTCTGCCCAAGGAAACTGTCAATTTGCAAATCAGAATCATGATAACTGTCTAAAAATCTGTACACTTTTCATGAACTGCAATAATTGCCTTCCTTCCTACTTTGAGTTATTTAGATAATTACTTCAACTTCTGATTTTATTTTGCTATCATGTAGACAAAATTTAGGCAAGAAAAATCCCAAAACACTGATCTTCCATAGTTAGGCTCCTCAATTGTAAAAGTAACAGACTGGATCCAAAAACTTTTTACAACTAATATTTATAAACATGTTTTTATGTAATTGTATTTCTTTTTTAATCCTCAAAAAAATTAAAAGCATAATCACTAATATCTGCGTGTTTTGAGTGCTCATGCTTGTTTAGAATCAAAATTCAATGCCCAGAGTGGTGTGACTGTATCTTTGCAAGCTTCTGGTATACACACCCCGCACCTGATACTGACAACCCAGAATTAACAGGTTTTTTTCTTTCCTTTTTTAATATATGGCTTGTTCCTTTAGAGCACTGTTTAACTTCAAAACCAAATCTATTTTCTCTAATTGTCAATGGAAGGAGTTGGTTACCATAGTTACAAAGTAAAGCGTGTTATTGAAAAGAAGAAAAGGAAGACTAATGACATTTTTAATGACAGATTCCAAGATATAAGGAAATTGCCCCCACAGAGAATTGGGAATGTATCAAGCCGCCAATCACAGTAATTATCCTGCAAACATATCAGTATCTGGGTCAGAAAGTCCTTTCAGATTTTCTACATGCCAGTTCTACAATGCCTCAAAATTTTGATCCCACAAGTAAGGCAGATCCTGTTGTGAATGCCTGTTTTCAATGAGTATGGCTGCATGAGCACACACTCCAGCAAAGATAAGCAGAGTGTGCTTGGGAGCATGCTCACAGGAGAATTGGTGCACCAGCCCCAGAGAGTGCCTAGTGTGTACCAAGTATGCGTTTCATTACACCGCTGTATTTCTCTCATGCAGGAAAGTTGCTGCAGACTGATATGTCAATGATCTTACAATATTTTTAAAGTACCATCACCTGGGTGATAAATTAATCTTTACAACAAATCACCATGACAGAAGTTTACCTATAACAAACCTGCACACATACCCCTGAACTTAAAATAAAAGTTAAAAAGAAAAGTACCATCCACCCACAGGGTCAAATACATATATAGTCAATACCAGATACTTCAAAAAAGTCTTATACAATGAGATTTGGTTTTGCAGCTTAAATTTCTTCAAGTTAAGGGTACATCAATAAGGAATTTATTGAAATACAGTGTATCATACAAACAGAATATTCACACAAAATGATCAAATGAAGAGGTAAGGATAAAAGTATTAAAACTGAAAATTTACCTAGTGAATAAGTGGACATAACAATTGAGAATCTATCCACTTCATGTCACTTATGGAAACAACACATTAAGATTAAACCTCACGTTAGCTAGAGTAGGAGAAACTACATACTACAGGGACCATCATTATTCTAGAGTGGGTCTGTGCAGAACTCCTCAAAAAGAGGCCATCTTTGGTGTTTATGTGCTAAAAAATTGTGTATTTTGCCTTCTGAGAACCATAAAATTGACTCAAAAATAGTTTCAAAGGGTAAAAGGAAAAATGCATGACAATTGAAGACATGGAATTAAATTGGTTTGTCTCTAACTGCCTCGTAGTAATCAAGGGTTCATACTTGGCAAAATCTCATAAAAACAGATTTAGGATTTAAGACAGTGTGAGTAAATTAGTACAAGCCCATACACAAGTCCTCAAAGTGATGGAGAACTACTCAGAAAGTAAAAGACCTGGGATCAGTATATGATTTAAAAATGAGAAGTGAATGATTATTCTGGATTTAATTCTTATTTACTAGGCTACCTGGTTCTTTGTGTTTAGTAGTATTTTATCTATTTAAGTTCCCACAATAGATATATCCAATATATAGAACAATAGCTAAATACTCAGAGAGGTATGGCCTTGGAGAGAGAGAGAGAGAATGAATGACAACCAGCCTGATAATCTCCTAAACTGGGGGGAGGGTGGTTTAGGGGAGGAAGATGAGAGGGGATAAGCCTCTTCAAAATCTCCTAGGTTTCTGGATATCTGCCCTTAACTGCACTGGGAGCAACTGCACACACCTGTGGAAAGCAAACTGCTATGGTTTGGCTGTGTCCCCACCCAAATCTCATGTTGAAGTGTAGCTCCCACAATTCCCACATGTTGTGGGGGGGACCCAGTGGGAGGTAATTAAATCATGGAGGCAGGTCTTTCCCATGTTATTTTCATGATAGTGAATAAGTCTCAAGAGATCTGGTGGTTTTATAAAGGGGAGTTTCCCTGCACAAGTTTTCTTCTCTTGTCTGCTGCCATGTGAGACATGCCTTTCACCTTTCACCATGATTGTGAGGCCTCCCCAGTTATGTGGAACTGTGAGTCCATTAAACCTCTTTCTTTTGTAAATTGCCCAGTCTCAGGTATGTCTTTCTCAGCAGTGTGAAAATGGACTAATACACAAACCTTTGTTCCTCCAGTCCTGATCAAAGGTCTTTAACCATGAGTCACCTATTTCTCAAATCCTTCCTCTCCTACCCTGTGGCCTGGGTCAGCCTGAGAGCCTAGTTCCTTCAGTTCCAGAGCTACAGGGATACAGCTAAGTCATGGAAACACCCATGCTTCATGTCAAGATCATGCCACACATTCTCCATGGCACCTAAGTGGTGGCCCTCCATTTTCCATGTTCCTCAATTTACCCAAAGAGCCTATCCTCCTCCATTTTTTAAAGGACATGACAATTCACCAAAAATGATTCCTTATCACCTAAGTGTATCCTTCTTAATGACATTGTCAAATTCTAATAAAGTGCCTCTTACATCCTTGCACTAGGTAATAATTCAAATATTAAAAATAAACACAAATATTACAAGGAGTAATAATACAACTGAGAGTCTTGATAGATTTTCTAAAAAGGATTTGATTAGAAACTTCCATCAAAAACTGTCTGAAACATGTTTTGCATTATAAGCTTTTAAGCATTTTATTCAAACCAATTTTCTTTAAGTAAAAACTTAATAGTGTCATCAAAACCACATTGATACAGAGATTCCATTTTCCTCTTGCTTGGGGGAAAAAGGGCTTGGTTGAGTCTCACCAGGTTTGCCAGGGACAACTAGAATAAAAAGACTGAAATTTAAGCTGTAGGATATTGCAGTACAGGAAAATATACACTATTTTTATAATCTAGGTTTTCTTATCACAGATACAATTAGCAGTAACAAAAAAATCAGTAGGAAAAATTTAAATTTCAGAAGTTACCTCCACTGATACAGTAAAGGAGGGTTTCTCAGCCTTGGTACTGCTGACATTTGGGGCCGCGACGTCTTAATTGTGTGATGGTCATGTGCACTGTAGGACGTTTAACACCATTCCTGGCCTCTACCCACCAGATGCCAGGGGCACAACTGGGACATGATAACCAAAAATGTCTGGGTACAATATCATCCCACGTGGAAAACTATTAGACTAGATTAAGGCAATCAGTATTTTTATGTCAATTATTCATTTGGGTCCCTAAGTTTTTCTCGACTATTTTTATACATTTCATTACTTCCATCTTTCTAAGCGAATAAATGGTTTTATTTAAAATTGCTCTGGGCCAGGCGTGGTGGCTGAGGCCTGTAATCCCAGCACTTTGAGAGGCCAAGGCAGGAGGCACGTGGTGGCACGTGCCTGCAGTCCCAAGTACTTGGGAGGCTCAGGCGGCAGGATTACCTGGGCCTGGGTGGTCGAGGCCGCAGTGAGACATGATCTTGCTACTGTACTCCAGCCTAGGGGACAGAGCAACATCCTGTCTCAAAGAAGAAAAAAATTGCTCTGATATCCTACCAAGTTTATTGATGTGAAAAAGAAGTGACAGTTAATAAGCAGCAAAAACGGGCGGGCATGGTGCATGTCTGTAATCCTTTGGGAGGCCAAGATGGAAGAATCACTTGAGTCAGGGAGTTTGAGACCAGCCTGGGCAACCTAGTGAAACCCTGTCTCTACAAAAGATAAAAAAAAAAAATAAGCCCCGCGAGATGGCGCACATCTATAGTCCCAGCTACATGGCAGGCTAAGGTAGGAGGGGTGCTAAAAATAAAATAAAAATAAATAAAAATAAAAGCAGCAAAAAGACTTAATGCTGACAGTCCATAAGAACCCAAGTTCCTATGCCTGATACATGTTGTAAAGTATTAAACAATACACTAAAGAGAAGATGCAACCCCTACCTACAATTATCAATGAGCTTCCAGTGCTTGGGAAACACGTTGAAATCTGTGGAAATTTTTAGTAGATCAGGACTCTTCATATATCACTGAACATAATTACTCACCATGATATCCTGCTTGGCGATATTAACATACAGATCCAGCTGCCCTTTGTCCTGCGGGGAGATGTCCAGTCGTCCACTGAAGGGGGAGATGGTCACAGTCCGGCCGACGGGCAGGATGGGAAGAGCGTTGGTGAGGCCTCCGTCCACCCACTTCTGTGGAAAGAAACATCTCACGTCAGCACATGTCAACAACACATCCCGCACAAAGAAAAGCAGATTCTAATAATATGTGTGCTTTGGATATGCTTTTAAATTGCTATTTTTGAGGACTAATCCCATTAGGGATCTGTTTTGGGGGTAAAACAAATCTTGGTACACATATCACTTACCAATATAAGAACAACTCTGGACAGAATTTAACTAGATTATTGTCTGTAAGACTTGAATTCTTACTGATTAGAGTGTGCATGCCTAAGAAGTCATGTGTAATTAGATTGGGGCTCATTATTCAATCAAACTAAAAAGTCAAATTTACCGTGGATGCTGAACAAAACATCCACCACCAGAGGAGGTTCCATTTTTATTATAAGAATTGGAAACTGGCATTTTCTGTGGCAAACTTAAAAAGTAAATACAGCAACTAGAAATGCTTCTAATTCCAAAGTGGTTCTTGTGCTCTTGAAGCAAGGGGCATGTCCTGAAGCCATAAGGAGTGGGAGTGCTGCATCAAAGCATACATTCCTCAGTAGGCACTCAGTGCTCTCAAGCCCACCTCAAAGGGGAGTGAGTGATGGAGAAGGCGGAGGACAGAAGCCTCCCAAGGAAGAAAATGAAACAGTCTTGGGGCAATGAGGACAGACAATGAGGTGCTCAAGGTGTGTGCAGCCTCAGCCCCTAGCTCTACAGAAGTGCACGATGAGGAATGGTGACAGAAGAATCACACAGACAATATTCCTTCTGCTGTCTATTCCAAGGCCAAACAGTCTCAATGTAGCCATGATCTGATGTATTCACATGATCAGCCATAGCAATCAATAAACACAACACACATGGAAATAACGTCCAAACTGTCTAAGTTTATCTGTTATTAAAAATAGCCTTCAGATAATATACAAAAAAACCAAAAAGTCTGGTAACACTTGAAAGTCCTGTATGCAGGAATCTTCAGTGAAGTTTGTAAATTGAGTTGTGCTTGAATGTGTAAAATGAAATGCAGATAAAACAAATCTTTGTTATTCAACATAAAGATGGCAAGAGGAGGGAGAAAACAGGCCAAAATAAAATGTTCTCAACTCACTTAAAACCATGCACTCATTTCTTCCAATGTGTCTTTTTCATGTCCTTCTTAATTGTGTTTATTTATTTATTTCATCTTTTTTTTTTTTTTTTGAGACAGAGTCTTGCTCTGTGGCCCAGGCTGAACTGCAGTGGCGCCATCTTGGCTCACTGCAAGCTCTGCCTCCCGGGTTCACGCCATTCTCCTGCCTCAGCCTCCCGAGTAGCTGGGACTACAGGTGCTCGCCACCACGCCTGGCTAATTTTTTGTATTTTTAGTAGAGATGGGGTTTCACCGTGTTAGCCAGGGTGGTCTCAATCTCCTGACATCGTGATCTGCCCACCTTGGCCTCCCGAAGTGCTGGGATTACAGGCATGAGTCACTGTACCCAGTCAATTGTGTTTATTTCTAAAGCTGGTGACAAAATGAGTGGTATTACATTATTTACAAAGGCTCTAGCCAGCCACGAACTCCTCCAAAGGAAATAAAAGTAAACAAATAAAACATAAAAATGGGTTGAAAATTCCTTTTGAGAGAATTGCATTTTGGTGGAGGAGAGAGTATAAGTAGATTGGATTAAAATAAAACTGACCTGTATAATTTGCATATTGTCATTATGTTTAAAAGAATATAAAGATTATGATATGTGTATTACACATACTTATTCGTATATGTGTATATGCATGTATATATGTGTTTGTGTATGTGTGTTTATATATGTATGTATATGTACACATAAAATATAGCTGGTTATATAACTGTATTATCTAAAAGGGAGGTTTGCAAAAAAAGGCTCGAAAATATCTGATTCTGTCCCAGAACTTGCTTTTTTCCCTGATTGCTTTAGGTGTAAATATCAAATTCTGGAATAGGATAATACCCAGAAGGGAAAAGAAAGACAGCTTCCAAAATTATTTCATATTGTCAACAGAAGCTGTCATCAATGATGTAAAAATTCATATAGGTTTCATCAAGAAAAATTAAAGATATGAAACTTTAAGTAACAGCTCTTCTGATTTATTCAACTTAATGAAAAGAAGGGCAATCTGGCTCATTAAATTGGAAAGTGTTCTAATTTACTGTGGGGTTAATGACTGCTGTTTCAGGGAATTGAAAATCCTTTTTCCAAATTTTGTTCACTCTTGTTAGCTTATTCTGATTAGATAAATGACAAGGGAAAATGTACAGCAGCTTATCAAACTACTTGATTAAACTTGCAATGATATCAGCTCCTTCTATAACCCTTGATGCTATAGCCCCACTACTCAGATACACTAAATGTGGTACTTCTTACTCCTGATTTATGCTCTCATGAGCTGTATCACTCAGGACAATCACACATTCATTCAGGCATGCAGATTCCAGCAAAGTTTCTGGAAACAACTGTCACAACAACAAATATTCTTCAACCTCCAAATTAAAAGTAGAAACATTTTATATCTTGTGCTCTACTGATAGTTTAAAATCTGGCATAGTAAACACTTCTGTCCATGAATTCTCTGGCTGTTCACAACATATGGCTGTGAGTCATTCCCATCTTCTTGCTTCATGGGCAGCATTCTACATGCTGATAGCTACTTCTATGAGCTTCTGTGACTCCAAAATTGTCCTTAAGAAAAATAGCTGCTGGTCTAAAGTTTTCCTGTACGTGTGTCAGTTTTCATCACATAGCACCATCATCCTCAAAGGAAAAGGGAGAGCAAGTACATAAAAATTCCAGGGCAAAATAGTTTCAAAATCATACTCGTTACAGGCTGTACAGTGACCACCTCTCGGTCCCACTGCTAGACCTACTATTCTTTTCTCTAATCTTTGGCCATATTCTAAGTGTGTTCCACATTCAAGTCAATGCCTGAGTCCTAAGACATAGAAATAAGCAACTGCTCAATAGAAAAACAGAAACAAAACAAAAAACTCATGCCCAATTGTGGGGCAGACATCTACTGTGATTGTTCTCTGAAAGTTACAGCATTGAAAACTACAATTAGTGGAATCACTTCTAAAGAGATAAGGCTACCTGTTACACCTAAACAGGCTAGAATATTCATCTGGCAGTACTTGTTAAACTTTGCTTTATACATTGGTGTGTTATGGGTACCTATTGAGAACATGCCTTATGAATTCAAGTAACTGCTATTATGTAATGTAGGTGGAAAACTTAAAAAAAGGACTTGATGAGTTAATATCCACTGAAAGGGCCAGTTTATTCATTCAGTAAGTGATCCCTGAGCATCCAGTGTGTGTCTGGACGTGTGGTAGATGCTGGGGATATGTTTGTGATAGAACTTCAATGAAGGGCTCCATTTTCTTAAGGTATATTTCATTCAAAAAAACAAGTGAATAAAAAATACTTTTCTGGAAGAATGAATAAGATGTTGCTATCTATAATTATTATAAATACCATGACACAGGGCCTAATAGTGCAAAAGTGATTTCACATGTATAATTTAATATGCTCTTTACAAGAACCCTATAAGGCAGAAAGGTCATGCTTGTATATTCAGTTACCTCATGTTACAGAAGAAGAAACTGAGGCTTGCAGGTTTCCTTGCTATAGTTCACGGGGTGGCAAAGTACGGCCCATCATCTGCTTCAGTAAATAAAATTTTATTGGCACAGGACCAGGACCTTTTGTTGAGATATTGCCTGTGACTGCTTCCCTCTACAACAGCACAGTTGAGTAGGTGTGTTGACAGAGACAATGCTGAGGGTATTTACTGTCTGATACTTTACGGAGAATGAAACATCTATTGCTACCGAATATACAGGCAAGAAGGGATAGAGTTGTCTTTTCACTTCAGGTTTTTTTTCTCACACACTGTAAAATTCAGGGATGCTCTATGGGGCAGGGCAAATTAGAATTGATTTCTGAGGGGTGAGAGAGAAGAACATGTGCTTTGAACAATAATTTCATATTTGCAAACATGTCTGCATTGCTTTCATGAGACAGCCTACAGATAGCAATGCCCAACAATGCTCTTGATTAGCAATTCCTAAAATAAAAGGGAGAGGGAAAGAGACAACGAGATACCCACCTCCTTGGACACAGGTGAGAATCTCCCAAATATGGTGAGAAGAAGACAGATGAGATTTTTTAATCAAAGAAAGACAAGTAAAAATACAATTCTAAAAGAGAGGTTGAGAAACCTGCCATACTAACCTCTACTAAGTATTGATTCTTGGTGCATTGCTTTCTTGGTTTTTGCATGTGTGAAGGATGATTAAAAATGATGACTCCAGATACCTACTTTTGAGAAGGCTCTAAAGGGTTATTTAACAGTTGACCATCTATAAACACCATATAGAAAATTTTCCCTAGAGGACTAACAGGTTGTTTCAAAAATTAAACAGACAAACCAAAAAAATCTAAAAAGTCACTGAAGAATAATAGCGTCTATTTCAGAATAACTAGAAATTGATATCCAGGTTTCCATCCAGCCAAATCTAGCTGGTGACAAGGCCAGCTACCACTGTTTGCTATGACAGTGACAGAGCTGCATTTCTATGTTAAAAGTCTAAGCCATGAGGAAACAGGAGCCTAAGGACCACAGTATCAACCTCATATAAAAGCAGTTACATGGAGTATTCCACAATTCTGTTTCCGACAGAAGTGTCAAGAATGAAAGAATAAATGACCCATAAGGCCAAATTCGCATGGACTAGGATAATACAATGGTGCATTTTCATGTTCCTGTAATAGTATACACTTAATCTTAGCCAAAAGGCCAAGAAGTGATCGTGTAATACTACAGAGTCAAAATATTACTTGAATTCCAATTCAGATGAAAGGAAACAACGCAAAATCCTACAGCCTTTCTTTTCTTTTCTTTTTCTTTTCTTTTTTTTTTTTTTTCCAGACAGAGTTTCACTCTTGTTGCCCAAGCTGGAGTGCAATGGCGTGATCTCTGCTCACTGCAACCTCTGCCTCCTGTATTCAAGAAATTCTCCTGCTTCAGCCTCCCGAGTAGCTGGGATTACAGGCGTGTGCCACCACGCCCAGCTAATTTTTTGTATTTTTAGTAGAAACAGGGTTTCACCATGTTAGCCAGGCTGGTCTCGAACTCCTGATCTCAGGTGATCTGCCCGCCTTAGCCTCCCAAAGTGCTAGGATTACAGGTGGGAGCCACCGTGCCCAGTCAATCCTACAGCTTTTCTTCTGATCTGAATCTGCCAGTTCTGGAGATGATTTTATTCTGATATTTTAGTCACCTGCCAATGCTAATTCTCTTTTAAAACAAATCAGTTAAGAATTCCTCTTGAAAATTTTCATTCTTATTCCAAATTGACAAGAATCTGTGAAAACATGGCCTAAATGTGTGAACATTCCTGTGGATTTATTCTACCATTGGAAAGAGTTCATATGTAGTAAAGAAAAATCATTAGTCAAAAATATAGGACTAAACTTCAATTTATTTCCATTCATTCACTGACACATCTATTAATGAGTATGTACTATAAGTAAGGTACTAAAATAGTCATAAGATGAAGCCAGAGAAAACTACAGAACTTTTTAAAATAATATTTTTTAAAAAGCAGTTTTTTCTTTCTCTTTCTTTCTTTTTTTTTTTTGAAACAGGGTTTTGCTCTGTTGCCCAGGCTGGAGTATGGTGGTGTGATCATAGCTCACTGCACCCTCAACCTCCTCAGGCTCAGGTGATCCTCCCACCTCAGCTTCCAAAGCAGCTGGGACTATAGGCACATGCCACTATGCCTGGCTAATTTTTGTATTTTTTCGTAGGGACAGGGTTTTGCCATGTTTCCCAAGTTAAAAAGAAAAAGTAATTTTCAAAGACATCATTCCACTTTAAACCACTGGTAGAGGGTTTTGAAAGGACTCATACTGGTGTTTGCTCTAGTTGAAATTAATCTTATGTATTATTAAGGTATGATTCTTCTAAGCGATTAATAAAAACATTTTAATGCACATATTGGATCCACAAATATATCTTAATAAAATCCAGCAATACCTGCAATGTAGAAATAAGGAGGTCTGTGTATTTAACAAAAGTCACAAGTGGAGAGAATAGACTCTGCCCCTGTTTCCCGAGTCCCACTTGGTCTGCCTTTCCTGACTCAATGCCACAAACATAAGTAACACTAAGTCTCTTTTTCCCCTTCTGCCACCTCCACTTTTGTCACTTCAGAAAAACAACCAAAGACAACAAATACATCAAAACCTGAGCTCTATGAAAACATGAAAATCTAGAAAATGAGAGGTGCATTCAGCATGACTGAAATGTTTAAGTAATTTAAATCACATAAAAAGCTTATACTAACATTAAAACACTGCATTTAAAGCAACCTTCACACTTCCCTGAAAATGGAAAGGAAAGATTCTAGAAAACAACTCCGCATGGAAACCCTATTAGAATGTGGGAGGTGATCAGGCTTAAGGAGAGTTAGTGTTAAGCAGAGAATGGTACTTCTAAATTGTTGCTTTCTGGTGTTATAAACAATGCGAGGCCGCTGTGGCTCTCTTGTCAATCATGTGCGTGAGGCCCCCTTATTGCAGACTCCATTAAACAACAGAGGAAAACTGAATGCTTTCAGGAGACATAAGGTTCAACTCTACAAGTAATTATGATGTGCCTCCTATGCACAGAAACCACATGATCAGCAAGACACTGTCCTGGGACATTGCCCAGGGTCAAGGGGCTTGGGTGGGTCGCTTTCCATCTTCCTCACAGTTCTGGGCCTGTGCGTTCCCTGCTGTTTAATTGTGGCTGTCACTCTATGTTCATGTCCAAAGTACTCAATCAAATCATGGAAAGTTCACCAGAAACTCTGATTCCTCACTCATGTCCTTTTAAACATTGCTAGTCTTCCTGTCACACACCCACGACATGGCACTGGGGCTGGACAGGAAGAAAACAAGGAATGCATTGTTTGAAAAGAACTAAAGGGCAAAGCAGAGTAAGAGGCACAGTAAAGATAGAAACATTAAGGACTATCTTGGGGAAGTTGCCCCCTTCTAAGCTCAGAGACTTCAGTGAAATAGACTGACGTCTTTACATCTCAATTTCCTCACATGTAAAATTGGAAGTAAGAATCCCTACAGCAGATAGCACTGGATTCTGGTGTATACAATAATAACAAAAGTTTTAGGCTGGGCACGGTGGCTCACGCCTGTAATCCCAGCACTTTGGGAGGCCAAGGCGGGCGGATCATGAGGTCAGGAGATCGAGACCATCCTGGCTAACACGGTGAAACCCCATCTCTACTAAAAATACAAAAAATTAGCCGGGCATGGTGGCAGGCGCCTGTAGTCCCAGCTACTCAGGAGGCTAAGTAAGGAGAATGGCGTGAATCTGGGAGGTGGAACTTGCAGTGAGCTGAGATTGCACCACTGCACTCCAGCATGAGTGACAGAGCAAGACTCCATCTCAAAAAAAAAAAAAGTTTTACTTCTTTTTTTCTGGTAACAGGAATATTGAGGGCAGGATGGTAAGGCAGACTCCTCAAATCATTTAGGACCTGGGTATTTCCAGTTCACTGTTTGGCCATCTTCAGGGTGTGATCCTTGACCTCATGATGAACAATAGCTGCTGGAGCTCCAGTAATCATATCTAAGTTCTGGGCAACAGGAAAAATGGAAAGGTATACAACTTTCCTTGTACTGTAAGTCCCACAGTTATTCGGCTCACATGTCATTGCCCAACAATAAAACAAACGGCCACACCTAACTGCAAGGGAAGCTGGGATATATAACCTAGCTGCACAGCCATAGGTCCAGATATAAATTGGGATTCTGTTACTAAGGAAGAAGAAGAAAGTGTATATTGGAAGAGAACCTGGAGCCTCTACCACCTGCCTCTCCTTCTAAGATAGAAACACTTAATTTGTAAGTGAGAGACTGGCATAATAGGGACATAGAGGAAAAATATTCTAATTACTAAGTGGCAAAGTAATTTTACTTGTCAATTCGACATTTCATTAGGTATTTCAAATGACAGCATCCGAATATGTGGAATTTTACCACTCACTCTCAACCCATTACCTTCTGCTCTATCAAAACATACATTCTCCATATTAACTGAAGCCTATTATGATTTGCACGAGAGAAAAGAAAAATTCCAAAGTTCAGCAAAGCTCAAGGAAAGACACTGATGAGGACCAATGAGATCAGAACAGAGACACTGCCTCGATCCTATTAGCCAAAGGGTTTGTAAAACTCAGTTCTTTTGTTGAGAGACCATGAATTCCTTGAGCACAGGCCTGGTGCTGGGCCCTCAAAGTGAGTGAATGAATGAATGAATGATGGTTAAAGCACTTTGTATGTACTCTTTTATTAATAAATAAATATATATTACATATATATAAAACAAATGTAATTTATTCATCCTGAATATATGCCTGATCTGATATATGCTAAATACTTTATTAGATATATGCTAAATACTTTCATTATAAAATATGTATCTCTGATATGTATTAAATATCTACACTATTTGATTATAAAACATATATCTCTGGCATGTGTTAAATAGGTACTATATTTGATTAAAAAATACATATCTCTGGTACATGTTAGACAGATACTCTGATTATAAAATACATATCTCTGGTATGTGCTAAACAGATACCCTATTTGATTATAAAATACATATCTCTGGTATGTGTTAGATATCTACTCTAATTATAAAATATATATCTCTGGAATGTGTTAAATAAGTATAATATTTGATTAAAAGATATATATCTCTAGTACGTGTTAGATAACTGATTATAAAATACATATCTCTGGTATATGTGCTAAACAGATACTCTATTTGATTAGAAAATATATATCTCTGGTATGTGTTAAATAGCTATTCTATTTGATTATAAGATGTATATTTCTGGTATGTGTTAAATAGATACTGCATTTGATTATAAAATGCATATCTCTGGTATGTGCTAAACAGACACTCTATTTGATTAGAAAATACATATCTCTGGTGTCTGTAAAATAGCTATTGTATTAATTATAAAATGTATGTTTCCATCATATGTTAAATAAACACATTAAACCAAATACTACATTTGGTTATAAAATATATATCTGTGACATGTGTGAAACAGACACCATATTTGAGAATAAAATGCTCATATTGAACCTGTGTCCACGCAATGGGGGAGCTGCCTCGGATAGAATGGTGAATACTCAAAACAAACTCTGTGTAGATCACAGAAGGAAGCTGGGTCACACTCAGCGCAGACTTTAGGTGCATGCCCATGTCTAAATTTCCCTAAAAGAACTGGCATCCTGTCTTAAGTGCCAGCTCCAAGAGAGGAGCACTCTCCTCAAACAAAACGGGTTTTGGCCTTACAGTGATCAATGTGTCTGGGTAAGTAGAGACCCTTGGAAGTGGGTCATCCCCTAGCAGAGGGGCTGAGGGCAGGCTGGAAGGAACCCATGCTGCATTGTCTGGGGGAGGACAAGGTGTGGAGCCCTGAAGCCTTTTCTCACCCTGATGGTGGTACAACTCTGCTTAGAAGGGGCTGTGAGTAGGACTTTACTATGTGGGGAAAAAAAATCATTCACTGCCAATAACAACAGCAACAACAGAACATATATATATATACATACACACACATATATATATGATGAAAATAAGAGCACCACAGTCAATCATTCCCATTCACGAGATCTTGATGATAAGTTATCACTGGTCCTGTATTTTTTTTCCTCTTAAAGAGAAACAAAGCTATTTATGAGGAAAAAAACATATAAACTGATTTGAAGCCACCAGAACAATTATAAAATTGGATGTTTCGAAAGAAACATATTAATATGGGGAGGAAGGTAATTCCTCAGTTATAACAAGCTTACCTGCCCTTTGTATTCCACTGGCTTCAGTCCTGCATAAATGGGCACAAAACTGCTGGCTAGGAGGACCTAGATGGATAAAATAAAGCAGCTCATGACTACATGCATGAACATTCAGACAATACAGTTGATGTAGTATTGACTAGCAAAATCTCAATAAATAAGCCCCACAGACTTCAAGTGCAGCACTGCACATAATTACATAAAAGATAACACTTTTAATAACAGAAAAGACTCTAAACAGATAGGTACAAGTTGACACACTCAGAATCAATCAACTTCACCTGGGTAAAAATCAGCATTTTTATAGTAGACACACAAGTTATTATAAACCAAAATGTAAGGTAAGTCTAAGTTCCTGAGTATGTAAAGGTTACAGAGAAATTATTTGTAATGTTCTACCATATACTGTAAAAACCATGTTGCAGTTGCACTCCTACTTTCTGGAGGAACAACGCCCTCTGATTACGACAGGAGAGGTTAGGCCACAGCTCAGAGATGTTCTCATTTATGTCACCAGGATTTGCAAAGGGAATGACATATTTTATGTTCCAATGACGTGGTCAGGATATGTAATAGAACCCTGGCAAGCAGTGACATCAATTATGCTTTAGCTCCCATTTAAAAAGTTGAAAAAGATTGTCATTTAGGCAATTACCATTCCATACATCATAAGAAGTTGGGCTCTGATAGCTTTTCTGAAATGTAAATGTTTTATTTTGCTGTGTAGTTTCCAAATCACTAGTGTTCTATTTGAAAACATACAGCATTAGATACTGAATATTTTTTAAGCTATAATCTTTCAACTGATAAGTGAAAGACTCTGGCTGTTTGTTGTCAAAGATTTCATGAGACCTTTTTTTCATCATACATTATTCAGAAACGGATTATGGCTCAAATGCTGACTTGCAGATCATCCATTTACAATTATTTAGAACTCAAAAGGCATTTCCTCTAAAAATCAATATTATAGGTATGGTTTTTGGGTCAGCTCTCAAAAGCCTATTTATTCTGAACGGCAACTAAATTACAGATTCAGTCAGCAGCATAACAATTTCCATAGGAAAATCCTCTTTTGAGCTGCAACCCGACACAGCTGGAACCTACTCTTGCCATTTTTATTTCTGCACCATGTACAGGGAACTTCCATAGCTTTCTTATGCAGTGGTTCTTCCTTGGACATGTCTCCTGTTTCCTCATTACCAAAAACCCCACTGAAAGGACAGGGACTTGTGTCTCTCCTGGTATGTCCAGCCCTTGGCAGAGCTCGTACTCAACAAACATCTGTTGGGTATTTCTCTCCCTTCTCTGTGATGTGAATGGACCCAACACTCCTCCACCTACCTCAATAGTGGGACTAAAGAAGGTTGCCCAGTGCTGTTGGTGGCATGCTGGTTGCAAAGGCACAGGCCTGGTTGTAACAGCTCCTATAGCAACAGGCTCCTGACAAATGCCCAAAGAAGTTTCTGGGGCCTCAGGTTTCAGCAGTGGCAAATTCAAGGATAACAGCACAACACAGGGACTCCAGCAGGAAAGAAGGTAAGAAATAGCCATGTGTGAAAGGGTTCTGTTGCACCATGCTGGCACTAGGTGCCAGAACCAGCTATATAATTTCTGGGTCCTGTCCAAAATAAAATAAATGCAGGGCCCCTTGTTCATAAAGTATGGAGAATATTGAGATGTTGGCAGCAGAGCATTAAACCAACGGTGAGGCCCTTTGGATAGTGGAGCCATGTGCAAATGCACAGGTCATACACTCATGAAGTAGACTTTGCCTCAAATATACTGTCTAATTTAATTATTTCTTGGCCCTGTCTCAAAAAGATAAAGTTGCTCAAAGATCTCTCTGCTAATACATGGTTGAGACTGCCCCCGGCATCAATTTATTTTAATATAAAATGTATATTTTACCAGAGCCAACATAAACATTTCAGATTTCTCACAATGAGTCTTTTTTTCATCTTTTGGTCAATTTTATACACATCTATCTCAATCGCTTGTTTATTGAAATAGTGAAAGCACGCTAGTTTGCAGCACTGTTTCTCAAAGGAAAGCAGGCACTTGTATTTATTTTTTATGTGCTTGTTTATTTATTGATTACAAGGCATAATAATAACCTCACACAAGGTCTGTCAACCCTCTATAAAATGTCATTGCGGACATGCCCGCATCACGACATTCTTCTCAAAATCTCAACTTTAAATGGCCCACATAATGCAAAACTGTGACATTACAGCAATCATGCTTCTTTCACAAAGAGGCAAAGCAGAAGTGAGTAGCACCTTGGGTGATTTGGTGAAGATCACTTAATAAATCAATAGGAGAGAGAGGACAGAAAGCAGGCATCTTCAACTCCAACCTTCTCAGCCCACTGGTAGCAATAACATCATTGGCTTCAGAGAAAGGTTGTTTACGGTTAAGGTAACTGCATTCACCCTAACTAAACCCAGCCTTATCAGCAATTGGCTATACTTTTAAAAAAATAATCACAGACCCTAGGTATGTTTTGCAAGCACAATGTAGCTATTTAATGAACTTATTCAGCAAATGCCACACCACAAAGCAATAACTAGAGCAATTTGTGGATAGCACACATATTGTGAAATTACAGTACTTAGAGGTCTTTAAAGAACCAGAAACACTCCATAAATATAATGATTTATTTCATTATTCTGCAGAGAGACATGTGAACTGCAAAAAAATCACTAACCTTAGAATTACGGTTTGTTTTATTTTCTTTTCCCCCGTGTCAAAGTAAAATGTAGAGTTCACAGGTTAATGCTTGGAACTATTTTGAGATATTTTGATGAAAAATGCTATCCAATTACTTTCCTACAGATAATAACAGTAAGAATCCTCCTGAATGATATGAAAAGTGCAGTGAACTGGAAAATACTTGTCACTCCTCCAAATAAATGTATTTGTTTTTGTCATAGCTGACTCTCCCTTTATATGGACTGATGATTTGTATATCAAACCAAGTTTAGTGGGGAAATTAGCTTTAGATAGTTAAGAGCTAAGTAGCTTTTCTTATTTGTAGTCAGCTTACTGCCATTTTACTGCAGGCAAATAGGATTTCCTAAGAAAGGAGATAAAGACTGACATTCTAAGGTCATATAATAAAATATTATGCCTAAACATATGCTTTTAGTGTATTTCACCTCACAATATTCCCAGTGAAATTCACCTTGCCAATGAACTTCAACACGTCTACAGCACTTGTTCTCAGCTGGGGGTGATTTTACCCCCAGGGACGTTTATCAATGTGTCTGTCATAACCTGGGGTAGAGGGTGGGGGGCGGTGGTGTCCTGCTGGCATCTACTGAACAGAGACCAGGGATGCTGCTCAAATTCTTACAAAGGATAGACAGCTGTCACAAGAAATAACTATCTGGGGAATAATCTGGGTCCCTACTGCCAGGAGTGCAGTGTTTGTGGCTGAGAACGCTGATGTGGAAAGCAGGGGTGTAGTTTTCACACCCTATCACTTGGTACAGCACTTTAAATGTTGGACATATGTGAAACCACTGATTTGTGTTCTTACTAAATACACAATGATAAAAATGAGAGCTAGTGTCTTCCTATAGCAACAGTATAAAACACTGCCAGGTGCGCATTCTCGACACGTTCTGATTGACTCTCTTCATTTTGCATTTTATAGAAAAGAGGTGTTTAGAAAATTATGTGGCCTAGCTTCCTTAGGGATTAAATTCTCAACAAGTTTCATTTATGCTTAAAGTTTACTGTGGACTTTAATGAGAATCTAACTGTTTATACAGAACCTGCTGGTATAGTTGAAATTCAAAGACAGATTCAAATTTATCTTCCTCAGTTTTTCCAAGATAATGACCAATCTCAAATTCAGTTCTTATTTCACCTTCACAAGGCTAAATGTGAGAGGATCTTGTTAAGAGCATTCTCACACATGCGAAGAAATTCAGGACATCACTGCAATAGAGACAGGGCAGAATTTTCTCAAGATGGCCAGGGACACTACTGTGCAGGAAAGGCTTCCTGGGTACCTCTATCCTACAGCATTCACACGTGTCAAAAGACCCTTTTGGAAAACACTTGTGTATCAGTCTTAAACATGAAGAATTCAATGATTCGTACCAATTCAGGGAAGTAGTGGAACTCCACCACGTCACTGCACTGTTAATTTTTTTTTTACACATCATTTTAGCTCAGCCATGGAGGTTGCATATGACTTTCTTTTAACCTAGGGGCTCACCTCCCTAGTTATGCTTTGCTGAAGGCTAACATTAAAATGTGTTTGGATTTCCTAGTTGCATGCATGCTTCTAAAGAAAAACAGCCCACAACAAAATCTGGAACTCGAAATGAATGAGTTGGTATGCAAAATGCGCACACTTGACACTCGGGGGATACTCTGTAGAGCGGCACACCAGGAGAGGAATCAGGAAGGAATCATGCAAAATAATGAACAGTATGAAGAGATGGATGTCTGGAGAGTGGAGGCACTTGAAGGTGACCATGCACATCTGGTATGTACTTAAGAGTTGATGAAATACTTTCATACATACTTCATTTGGCCTTGTTCTGAAGGTATCCATCTTAAAGATGAAGAAACCAAGGCTCCAAGAAGTTGAGACTCACCAAAGGTCCCAGAGCCCACCAATGACAGGGTTAGGTGGATGTGTACCACCCCTCCATGACTCTTTTCCATCCCCTAAATTATCTGCATTTGCAGGAACTGATCTCATCTTGGTTTTGATCTGTTGGTGACCCACAGACATAAAGGGTCATCCTTGGAGGGAACATTTTTCTGGGTGTGGCACCCAGAAATCAATCTCTCAGATGGGAAATAAAGATATGATTTTGGAGGGGGGCCTCCTGGGGCTCTGGTTAACTCTATAAAGGGGTCTGCCCTCTGCAGGCTGCCTTTAAGTAGTTGAGCAGCAGACACCATCTGTGTTTCCCTTTGTTAGTACAGTCACTATAAGGGAGGAGCGGAATGGTTGACACCAATAAATTCTGAACAAAGGAATGCCTTAAGGCCTGCATCTGTCTTATAACGGTTTATAAAGTAGAAAAGACTGAGTTAAATCCTCATGAACATAAGATTCAAAATTCTGTGGAAATTCAACTCTAAATAAAATGAAGAGTTGGACCACACAGTCCGCAAGGGTTCCAGGAAAACAATCAACTAGCATTGCAGCTTTCAAACAAGTGATTTTCCATGCCACTACAGGTGAAGCTCATTAAGATAAATTAAGTATGAATCATCATACAAAATTATTTACTTTAAAAAAGAAGGCTTATGATGATGAGCTGTAAAATCAAATGCCTAAAGGTGGCAAGAACTCAGCAGCAACCATTTCCTGAAGTATTACAGATATCAATTAGCACATTGTTCATGAAGACAGGTGATAAGTAAGGGGTTAAAGAGTAACATTGATAAGAAAAAGTAAGTCCTATTCAGCCTGAAGAAAAGAAAGTTGTGACTGAACATGGCTTTAAAATATCATGACAGATTCATACAAGGGCGCTGAGCAGGGGTGTGTATGGGTTATTATTTGTTCATTATTTATGAAATATTGGCTCCATTCAGCATGCATAAAGGGCTTTACCATTTAAAACACACTTTCACATGTTTTATCTTATTTATTCTGCACAGTAACACTAGTTAGTATTACTGTGCGAATTATTCCATTTCAGAGATGAGAAAACTGAGACTCAAAAATAATCAGTCCAAGAGGACGACGTCAGGAAACGACAGGCCTAGACATGATCACCAGGACACTCATAAAACAAGTAACCATCCTTGAGGAGATTCAAAAAGACCTCAAAATACACACACACACACACACACACACACACACACACACACACACACTCTCTCTCTCTCTCTCTCACAGATTCTAAGCTACAGGTTTCTAGTTGGATTTTCAGGTACGTAGGCACACTGTCTGTAACAAACAGCATCAGTCAGCTAGTGGATAATGAAAAACTAGGCATTGTAAAAAAAATTCAACTATTAAGTAGCAGAACAAATGAGTTAATGATAAAAACAGACAGAAAATACAACATGGAGCAAAGTTTAAAGGAGGTGAAAATCATCAGTGTTTAGTATTTCATGCTCTCCCATGCTCTTTTCTCTAACTTGAGTTTTAATCAACCTCTCTCTTTCTCTCTGTCTCCCATCCCCTCCATCTAAAGAATATCCAGATACTGGGAAGTAGACTTGTATTAGTTCATTTTCACACTGCTGATAAAGACATACCCGATACTGGGTAAATTATAAAGAAAAAGAGGTTTAATGGCCTTACAATTCCATGTGGCTGGGGAGGCCTCACAATCATGGTGGAAGGTGAAAGGCAGATGTTGTGAGACTTATTCACTACCAGGAGAACAGTATGGGATGGGGAAAACCATCCCCATAATTCAATTATCTCCCACTGGGTCCCTCCCACAATACATAGGAATTATGGGAACTACAATTCAAGGTGAGATTTGGGGGTGGGGACACAGACAAACCATATCAAGACCCCAGGCTGTGTATTCAGAGCCAGGTGTACCAAGCGCTGGGAGACCTGCAGCTACCCATCATCGAGCTGCTTCAACGCATGGCTTCAGAGCCTCCTGTCTCCACCTAAAGGGAGTGGGGTGACCTTCAGGCAGCCTTCCCAATCCCAACCAAAAAGGTCAGAAGCACCATCCTCCCATGGCACCACCTCAGACAACATTCTCCCACCATCCTCTTCTTTCACCGGAACATATATACTTGATCATGTCCCTACCTGGCAGGGGGGTTACTTTACTTCCTCTTCACGCTTATTCCTTTCCTACATCATCCCTAGTCTTCCCACACTGTCACTCTTTTCTGCTAAATTCTTCCTGAGTATTCCAGGCATAGGTTTCACAGTTTAACAGTCACCATCTGCTATCATGGAACTATTCATCCTTCCTTCTTTTTAATTCTGAAAAAGGTTAAAACATCCTCCTAAACACGTAGAATGTTTCTTGTAGAACCCAGAATAAATGTCAATTATTCGATTTTCTCCTTACAAGTATTACACATTTGTGTCAACAATTTCTCTTCTGTTCAATGAACTCAACTAATTACACGAATTCTCTGAATAGTTATTATCCAAAACAAAGGAACTAGAAAAACATCATGTTTTCTTAACAGCAACAGTTTGCTATTGCCGTTATAACAAATTACTACAAATGTAACTGCTTCAAACAAGACACATGTATTGTCATACAGTCTGAGGGTCCAAAGTCTGGTATGGGTCTCACTGGGAAAATCCAGGTGTCAGCAGGGCTGCGTCTCTTTCTGGAGGCTCTGGGGGAGAATGTGTCTCCTTGCACATTCAGGTGTTAGGAGAATTCAGTTCCACAGGTTACAGGGCAGATGTCCCCTTTTCTTTGCTGGCTGACAGTGGGGAGCTGCTTCCTTAGAAGTCTCTGTGCTCCCCTGGCATGTGGCTCTTACATCTCCAAACCAGCCATGGTACACAGAATCCAGGAAAGGTGTCCATTTTTCAAGATTCAGGTACTTAGTTTGGGTCCACTTGGATAATACAGGATCATCCTCCTATCTCAGACCTTAAACTTAATCACATCTACAGAATACCTTTTGACAGGTAAGGTTATATCTGGACAGGTTCTGGGGATTAGGGTAAGGGCAGCTTTGGGTGTCATTCTTCTGTCTGCCACATAAAAGAGATGGATAGGGAGGATGAGCATTTTATCCAGCGTGGGGTAGAGTTAGGTAAGAATGCTAGACGCGTGGACCACAGTCACAGCTGGGCCCCAGCCAGCTATGTGATTTTGCCCGGGTCTTAGAGTACGGAGGGCCCAGTTTCTTTCTTTTCTTTTGTTTTAAATCAAGCCAGTGTAACAGATACAACCTTGGTTCATATCCATTCATTTCACACATATTACAGAGTGCCTACACAATGGCTAGCAGTGTGGCAGGTACTGGGCTGTAGCAGTGAGCAAACCAGAGAAAGCCCTGCCTCTTGGAGCTTACACTCTGGTGAAGGAGGATGGACAATAAAAGCTAAGCAGGACAGCAGTAAAGAGGTATCATGCTAAAGAGTGATACGTAAATCAGGAGGGATGTAGGGAGATCAGGGGCTGAGAGTTCTGTCATTGTAGACAGAGAAGCCAGGGATGGACTCTGTGAGAAAGAGAGATCTGGGGGCAGAATCCCTCTCATTTTATGTCACAAGAGCACATAGTCTGTTCCTAGATAAACACGAAGATGTATGTCTGCCCACCGCAAGCCTTATCTGTCTGTATTGGACATTGATGACTTAGGACCACTTAGCATGGGTTGCCCAGCTCTTCCCTTTACACTGTCAAATCTACATAATACTGTAATGAGATTATAGAATAATGTCTTCTTATAAGATAGAAAGACTCTTAACTTGTAAGTGACAGACTGACGTAACAGGGATATTGAGGAAAAATATTCTAACCTATTAAGTGGCCAAGTAATTTTACTTGTCAATTCAACATTTCATTAAGTATTTCAAATGACAGCATCCAAGTATATGGAATTTTACCACTTACTCTCAACCCATTACCTTCCGCTGTATGAAAACATACATTCTCCCTATTACCTGAAGCTTGTTATGATTTGCACTAGAGGGAAAAACAAGAAAAAACTCCAAAAGAAATACACCCTTTCCACCCTACAAATATTCAGTGTATTACCACAGCAGGCACACTGGTATTTGGAAATCAATCAGCTGAAGTATTTCCCAGAGATAATGAATTCTCAACCAACCAACTTTCAAATGTGTTTGGACAGAAAGACATCAGAACAAAATGGAAGAAACAAAACGGAATATTAGATTGAAAAGTTAAGAGACCTGGGTACCAGAATTGGCTCCCACTGCCACGCAGGATAATCTTGGGTACATTGGTACATACATCACATAAAATATTTTCATTCACTTCTCTGTTAAAAACATAAAAGGGATCAGGTGCGGTGGCTCACGCCTGTAATTCCAGCACTTTGGGGGGGCCAAGGCAGGCAGATCATTTGAGGTCAGTAGTTCAAGACTGGCCTGGCCAACATGGTGAAACCCTGTTTCTACTAAAAATACAAAAAGTAGGTGGACATGGTGGTACATGTCTGTAATCCCAGCTACTCAGGAGGCTGAGGCAGGAGAATTGCTTGAACCTAGGAGACAGAGGTTGCAATGAGCCAAAAGTGCACCACTGCACTCCAGCCTGGGCAACAGAGCGAGACTCCCTCTCAAAACAAAAACAAAAACAAAAACATAAAAGGGTCACAATAACACCTATCCTACCTGATTTACAGAAGGACTTGAAGGACTGAATAAGAGAGTACATGTTAAAAACCCTACATACACTCCAAAGTATTAGCCACATAGATTTCGGGAATTATTGCTACTAAATTGCATCAGCGACTTGCTTCACATAATCAATGTGAGATCTGAACATTGTAGGAAGACACTGAACAAGTACAGGGAGCTTTTGGATGACAGTGCATCATGAGGTGGCCTCAGGAGGGATCCTGGTGAATACTTTCATCAAACATGTAATTTACTGAGCACTCAACCATCTATCGGGCCTGATAAGAGATACAGGATCTAAAGAACATGGTAATGCTCATTACTTTTATATAAAGTATTGAAATCAGCACCTGCTGATTTCTTCAAATAGGAAACATGGCTTTATTACCTTAATGAGGTCCTCCCTGGAGGAAAAAGTGGAGACTAAGTGATTTTCTCTGGTTCTGGTGTTGGTGATGGACACGTGCAGTCGGTTCTGGGCCAGCTCGTGAGCGTTGGGAGGAAGAATCGACTCTATTCCACTTCTAAAGAAAAAGCAATCTGCATCATTCACTTTTAATTACTGAACGCCCTGTAAATATTTTACAAGAGAGAATGCTGAGCTTGCCACAGTTTGTACAGAGAGTCGTCAACATTCTGTCTTCATGTACTTTTGGGCAAAATGTACTCTGTATACCTTAGTTGGGCCATGATGTCATAACCGGGTGTTACTGCCCCAAAAGACTGCCTTCTGATTTCTTCGGCAAACTTGTAGGTAAACTGGTTACATTCCTAAAAAAAGAAAATTAAGAAGTGACCCTATGTGTCATCAAAGGTGTGCAAATTCTCCACCTGGCTGGGGCCTCACCCACCACTCTCAGGCCCTTTGCAAGGTATACACTCTCAAAATCCTAATCTTTTTTGTTTTTTCCTTTGTAAAGCACCTTAAATGGCATTTGCCCCGTCTGAAAAATCCTTGAAGGCTCAATCTGAATTTTAATTGAGCACATTCTTCAGAAGGTTTCCTCAGCGCAATTAACCTTCTCTCCCACACCTATTTTGTGGTCTCAGCAGCAGTTTGATTACAACCCTGCAATAAAGCTGATTACAAATGACAGCACCAGTGACAGAAATAGGAGTGGTGACGTCTATGGTTTGCACAGACTGAACCAGTCTTCGGAGATTCATCTTGGGCACTGGTATTTTATAAAGTCTTTCAGGGATGCTCTGTCTACCCTGGACTGGGATCCACAGAGGTGACACTGTCAGTTCATCTTCACATCATCCTGCAAGGTGGGTATAACCATCCAACTTGACAGATAAGAAAACAGAGGATTGGAGAGTTCAAGTACCTATCCCAATATCTCACTAAAAATGAGTCTCAGAGCCAGGATTTACACCCAAGTCTGTTTTGTATTAAATAATGAATTAATTTGGCAACTAACTGGACACCACGTACTTGGCTAGGCACTGGGACTTGGACAGGACAAGATACAAAGAAACTGTGCTCATGACATTCATAAGTGCCTCCAAGAGCAGGTGACAGAGGGCTATGAGAGCCCCCACGAGGGTGTGTTTGGCTCTCATTTAGTGCAGAAAATAAATAATAACAGGTAAACTAATTTGAGAATATGAGGACATCAAGTCTCAAATTCAGGTAAATTATTCAATGTCTTAACATTGCAGAATTTCAGTTAAGTGGCTATATTATTGCAGTGGTCTCTCCTCTCCCCACAAAGATATCCACATTCTAGTCCCTGGAACCTGTGACTAGGAGACCTTTGTTAAAAGGGACTTTGTAGAGCCAATTAAGGACCTTGAGATGAGGAGATAATCCTGGATGACCTGGGTAGAACCAATGTCATCGAAAAGGTTCTTGTAAGGGAAGGAGGGAGGTAGGAGAGGCAGAGTTGGAGAGATTTGAAGATGCTGTGCTTATGGCTTTAGAAATCAAGGAAGGGGTCAGGAGCCAAGGAGTCTGGGCACCCTTCAGAAACTGAAAAAGGTAAGGAAATGGATTCTCCCCTGGAGCCTCTGGAGAGAGTGAGCAAGGACATTTTGATTTTAGCTCAGTGAGACCCTTTTAGACTTAAGATCTCCAGAGTTGGAAGATGATAAACACATGCTGTTTTAAGCCACTAAGTTGAAGGTCCTTTGTCAAAGCAGCAACAGGAAATGAATACGGTGTGTGTCAACCTCCAACCTCGTGGGTTGCCAAAGGTTTCCCTCCAATTTGACACCCAGGCTGGGACTTAAACATAAACAGGAATTGGGCAGGGGATGAAGGTGAAAGCAGAGGATAGTAAAAACAACAGCAAGAACAACTCTGAGAGGGGCACAGAGCTGAAATGCGTCCCTAAGGCGAGCCACAAGTAGGGCTAAGTCACATAGGGCCTTGTGATACAAGCTGAGAAACGTGGGCCACATTATCCTAAGTCAACAGACAGCCTCTGCCCCGGGGGTAATGAGGTGATCAGATATACCTTTGGGTGACATCACTCTAAGTGCTATGAGGTAGGTGGATTGTAGGGAGCTTGAATGGATATAGGCTGCAGGAAGCTCCTGGGTGAGAAATGGGGGTAGCCCCACCAAATGTATGTTCATTCTACTGAACTAGACTACCCATCTAGCCTATTTCTTTGTACTAATTTTAGTTATATTCAATACTCTCCATAGCCCGGACCAGACTGTAAACTTATTAAAGATCGACTTACTCATCTTTGAGTTCCCCACTGAGTCTAGCATCATGCCTTCCTCGCAAATTGTGAGGGCAGAGGAAAGACTTGCAGCATTGAGCTCTTCCATATCAACGTCTAAATTTGCCTACCACTTAAAACATGCCCTGTATCAGGTGCTCCTCTTAATTATTCATGCATAAGCTCAGAACAAGATTAATTACACACGTATTTGTCACAACAGTAAAAAGCTTGAGGAACTTACATCATCAGCAAGAATCAAGTGAACACGAATCTGAGTAGGTAGAAACATTTGCTAAAAAACACTCAAGGCTATCCTACAGGTGGATTATTTCAGATGCTAAATATAAAGTAACTAAAATAACCTTAAGTCAAAGGGTTACTTTGGCTGAAAAACTATTTTGAACAAGAACAAATGAGGATGCCCTAAGGAAACTAAGAAAATTATTTTCTACCTTCCCATGGGAGCACCAGATAAAGACATCTTTTCGTCATACCAGCACCATCAGACAACACAACCCAGTCTCTCATTTAGTGCAAAAAATAAATAACAACAGGTAAACTAATCTGAGAAGATGATGGCATCAACTCTCCAATTCAGGTAAATTATTCAATGTCTTAACATGGCAGAATTTCAGTTAAGTATAAGTGGCTGTACTATTGCAGTATTTCCAAATCAGGTTAATTCTAAATCATATAATACATTTTTTAATTTGCTGAGAATTGGAAACCAAGTCTACATAACTCCAAAGCTTAGGATTTGCCAGAGCTCAAGAAAAGACTGCAGTAGAAAGGAAGAAGTAACACCCTGAGAGTCCTCTGCTTCAAAAATGAAACACAGTTATGGGAAGGAGGTAGCTTGTAATTCAAAGCATATGAATCTGCTAGTTTAGGGGGAATTTTCCCACCTCATTTATACCTTGCATGGCTTACGGTTCTCATCCTGTTTAATCTCTGCAGTTTTTAAATCACTTTTCTAGTTCCCTGTAAATCAACCATACAAAGACAGGAAGATAAGTGGATTTCTGAATGATTGGCCTCAAATCTAGCTTCCCTTTGATAAGCAGCTCACAAAAGATCTGAAGTGAGATTTTGATGATTAAAATTGCATAGTTTTAGAATTTTAAATGTGACTGAAATTCATTCTTGGTCATGAGGGTGTTAAATTATTATTTCATTATTGTTCAAAGCTGCTAAAGTATGTAATGATTAACAAATATAATATCCTCCAACTACAGAATCCAGCTCTCACAGTCAGCAAATGTTTGATCACTGTCTAGATAGCAGAAAACAGATTTTTAAAACACAGATTGCATTAAATAAAATACTGAATGAAGACTTATTTGTATTACTTCTGGATAAATTGCTTGGAACTCAGAGCTTCCTTTCACTGTGAGAATTAAAAAAGAATTAAATTCCTATACCATCCCACTTAATAGAAACTGCTTGCCCACATTTTAATTTATATGTCTATTTCTACGTAGCAGTGAGTAGAGACTTGTTGCCCACATGTTCAAGGCCTTGAAAACAGGCCCCATGCTCTTCTCATCATAGAAAGAGGAAATATCCTTTGCTTGAAAGGAACAGAGCTGGAATCTTAAGGATAAATAAAAACTCAAGAGTAATATGTCATTTTATTTCCTTATTTCACTATCACGCAAAATAATCTTTTCCACAACCAGAGCACAGATCCCTAATAATTACATCTTAAAAGAAAAGTCCTAATCCTTTCTGTTTCCAAGCAAAGGATTAATTCTCTGCCGTGTTAACTTAGTAGAGTCAATGCTCATGTTTGCCTTTGGGTCTTAATTTCTTGATGAGCAACACAGTCTAAGTTACTACTTAATTACCTCTATTTTTTCTGGTGCTGTTAGCAGAACAGAAGCAACCAAGGATCCCGCAGACGCCCCGGCGAAAGCTTTGACATCCTTCAGAAGTTTTTTGCCATGTCTGCAAAGTGCAGATGCTGCCCCCAAGTGGTAAATGCCCAGAAATCCACACGCTGCAAATGACAGGTTGATGTGCTTCATTCTAGCTGCAGCACTGGCAATACAAAAAGCAAAAATGCTGTAAGTTGGAATAGTTTATCCCACGTACTGTGTAGTCTTATGTTGATCATCGTTCCAAGGCTTTCTTCTAACATCATTCTCTGTTTTAAACACAGTGGTTTCAATTAATTCTAATTAAACACAAGAATATTTCAAGGAAATCTTTTCTTTCCCTCCTCACCTTGACCCAAGTCTTATACATTAAAAACAAACAAACAAAAAAACCCCCAACATTCCACATTTATTCGGTACATAGATTATGCAATCTACGATTTAATTACTTGGCAAGAAACAGATGTATACATTCCAATTGGCAAGGGCATTTGGTCTTTTCTCCTGACCCTTTGAAACGTTTTGCAGGGTGGGGGCGGCACTACCATTATGAAACAGAAAATTATTAGAGACCGTATCAAATTCCAAATGAACAATACATTTGTTCTTGGTAAGTGTATCAGAAAAGTTTAAATATAGTTCCCTACTCCCCTTCCCCATTTCTATTGAGCACCCATATTTTTATGAACGCCAATACAATCACTCAGTAACGCAATAAGCACTCACTCAACAATGCAATACATTTCTTTGCCAAGTATCTCAAGACTAACTGAGGTCATGACTGGCGAAGGTAATTTAAGGCTCCATGAAATGTCAGCCACGCCACTTTATACTTGGAACACATCTAAATAGAAAATTATGTTTTCCTATGCCTCAGTGCGCACTACTTGCCCACGTGAATGCAATTGTGCCTCCACAAGGCTGTCCATTCTGAAGGCCTCAGGGTTTCCTTGGGGGCCCAAGGGCCCCATTCAGGGACCCCAAGATGAGGCACACTGCAGGGCCTCGAATTTAGGGACCTAAGACCGCCTATTACTGATGCACCCGGCCAGGCCCTGTGAGGGCAGGAGGCTCGGCCGCCGCAGGCTGCGCTGGCGTCCGCGTAGACTGAATCCCAGTCAATGATCCGGGGGCGAGCCCCAGTTTTGATTCCACTTCTGCAAATGGGGACGGGAAGGGGTTTGGGTGCTCAGCATCCAGGCGGCCAGGCCCAGCCAGCACAGGCACAGTGCCCTCCGGCGGCTTAGAGGCCGGCGGGGCCGGGGTGGTCCCCGCATCAGTACCGCAGGAGTACACCCTTGCTGGGCCCCAGGGCTCCGTACCAATGCAGCCCCGGGACACTTCCGTGTTGAACGAGCCCCTTTAAGCAGCTGGCGGGGCCCGACCGTCATTCAACGCCCTTCCGCCATCAAGGTAAAGCTACGCTCTACGCAAGACGGCCCAAGAAAGTCCTGCGGCAGGGGTTGGTACCGCCTCCCGCGCAGACATGTGACGTCATCGCGCCGACGCAGGCGTCCGCTCGGCCCCGCCTGCTCTATTTAAACTTCTGGATTCAAGATGGCCGCTAGACCGGAGCGTCCTCCCGCGCAGGCAAGACTTACTCGTTTAGAGTCATGTTATCTTCGAGTATCTAGAGAGACATTTTAACCCACACCCTAGAGAGGCGTTGTAATCCCTGCGTATCTTTTAACGCTACTTGGCCCTCACCTGCGAATCTACTGTTCTTTAATAATCCTCATTTTCTGTGCCCCGGAAGTGCCTTCCTCTCTTCGCGTCTGTTTTCCGGAAGTGGTTCTTCTCCCTCTCCACCCTTGCGCGCGCTTGGGCGGTCCAGCTGCCCCTAGGGCCGACTCCAGGGGCTATTTGGCGGCTGAACATGCCGCATTTTTTCAAGGCGTGCCTTTGGTTTTTTTAAGAAGTGCTATCTAAAGGAAAGGCTGGACTATGGCTCTGGGGAACTTTCATATCCTCAGTTGACCTTAGGCTGTGTGACCTTGAGCAGGTAGCATAACCTGAGTTTCCCGCGTGACCTATGTGCAGATTGAGATGATAAAATGAGAGAGCTAAACCGGAAAGCTGTTCCAACATAGCGGGCCGTGAGCAGGTGGCCGTTTTGTCCTCTGGCACCACTGGCTCAGACTTAAGCAGCCTCACTGACCGCCAAGATTGCATGCCATGCCCACCAAGATTTAAAGGACTCTGATAATTCTTTCTCTCCCCAAACAGTGTTTTCCCTATGTAATCTTAATAAGCAAGCCTGGAGGAATCTCTGACTTGTGAGTGAAGGCTCTCCAGGTGCCCTGGTTTAAGGGCAGAGATTTATTTTCTCTGAGGCTACAAAGGAGCATCTGGGAGATGCGAGAATTCTTCTACCTTTGGCAAAACAGGGAGGAGGGTTGGAGCTCTCCAAGTTGCCTCTGGTTTGAGCTTTTTCTTTCTCTTTTGGTGTGTCGTCTCTGGCCAGCAACACCTGTGAGTCCTTGATTTGGCGATTAGGGAAGATGTTTTTAGTTCACATAACTATTCTTTAGAGAAAATTGATCCTGAAAACACCTTATTGCCTGATCATAGAATGACTGCATTACTCAGAATTCTTTACCTCCACTGGAATTTAGTGAAGGGAAGGCCCAATGTACATTAGGAAAATACAGGCACACTCCAGTCCTTAAACCTTCCACAACCCTCTAACTCTTTAAGGTCGAGTGTGATCCTCCCCAGAACTGCATCTTCTAGGAAGTTCATGAGAAAGGAAGGATCCCAGGTCCCATCCCTGATCTCCTGAATCGGCATCTGCATTTTAACAGAATCCTGAAGCAGTGGTCTAACTCCTTTGGTTGTGGTATGGTTTGAATGTATACCTCCAAAATTCACATATTGAAATACTAACCCCCAAGGTGATAGTATTAGGAGGTGGGGCCTTTGGGAGTTAAGTCATGAGGGTGTAGCCCTCATGAATGGGATTAGTACTCTTAGAAAAGGGACCCCAGAGAGGTCTCTTTCCACCATGTAAGGATAAAAGTACAAGGAGAAGATGGTAGTCTGCAAACTGGAAAAGGGCCCTCCTCAGAACCTGACCATCTTGGCACCTTGATCTCAGACTTCCATCTTCCAGAACTGTGGGAAATAAATTTCTTTTATAAACACTCAGTCAATGCTACTTTGTTATAGCAGCCTGAATGGATTAAGACAGGTGGTCTGGTTTAAAGTGATGTGTTGGCATCAGAAGTTTAAGGAAAGACTGGATTCACAGAACCAGAATCTGGGATGCTGTTTACAGAGCAAGTATTTCCTGCATTTGGACACTGTCGGCAGGTCGATTCAGGAGACAGACGAAAACTTTATCACCGGGCAGCCTGGATGAACACCACAACTTTGAGATCTTTCACTTAAAGGAAAGATAAGGGCATCCACTATTTCTACACCTGCCTGGCAGAGTGAGAACTCACCAAGGGTAAGTCTCTTTGGAGCAGCAAAATGCTCCATAATTTAACTCTTAAAATTTTAAACTAGTATTTCTTCCTTACTCCCTTCTGTCTCGTATTGTATCTCCATGTAACTAGTTAAAAGTTGAGCTCCCAGCTGGGTGAGGTGGCATGTGCCTGTAGTCTCAGCCACTCAGGAAGCTGAGGTGGGAGGATTGCTTGAACCTAGGAATTCATCTTCAGCCAGGGCAGTGTAGTGAGACCTCATCTCTAAAGAAAAAACAAAAGACGAAAAAAGTTCAGCTTTCTAGTGTAAGGAAGAATATCATATTCATTCACATTTGTCTTTGTCATCTCATCACCAAGCCTAGCGCTTGGCATATAGTATATGATCAATAAATATTTGTTTTGGATGTTGGATTTATGTAAATTACCATTGTGATCTGAATATATAGTAATTTAATTGCCCTTTAAGATGTTTTTTCTGTAATTAATTTGCTTATTTTTGCTCATCTGTTTTCCTTAGTAATTTAGTTTCAAACAGGTTTGTTTATTTAGCCATTTATCATATAATTATTAAGCATCTGTTGTATAGCAAGTGTTACATTGATACAGGTCATACATAGTTGAAAGAATTCAGCCCTTATCAGGGATGCAGAGTCCAGTGGGTAGGGAGACATCTGATGTGTAATTACAGAAGTGTGATGATGTGGTATTGCAAAGCCATACACAGATGCTCTGGTTGTGCACACCAGCTACGGATTAGGAAACCTTTAGCTCCGGGAGGTGCCTGCAGTAGCACCCAGCACAGAAACAAAATGCCCCACCTTTCCTCTCCAGTGCTCCCTCCCAGGAGGTTTTATTCTGTATCCCATACGGGAGGAGAAATGGACATGGATAAGGGATGCTTGTCCACAGCTCTGCTCCAGGGAAAGGACCATATCTCAGAATCTTTGAGTCTGATCAGTTCTTTCAGTCTACTCTCCTTGTCGTGTTATTTCATTTTCCAGTCTTGGCTTTTTTTTTTTTCCTGTTTTTTTTTTTTTTTTTTTGAGACAGAGTTTTGCTCTTGCTGCCCAGGCTAGAGTGCAATGGCACCATCTTGGCTCACCGCAACCTTTGCCTTCCGGGTTTAAGCGATTCTCCTGCCTCACTTTCCTGAGTAGCTGGGATTACAGGCATGTGCCACCACGCCCTGCTAACTTTGTATTTTTAGTAGAGACATGTTGGTCAGGCTGATCTCGAACTCCCGACCTCAGGTGATCTGCCCGCCTCGGTCTCCCAAAGTGCTGGAATTACAGGCATGAGCCACCGTGCTGGCCGGCATCTTAACACCTTAATACCTCTTGTCGATCAACGTTATAAGTGATTTGGTTTTTTTTTAAAAAAACAAAAAACAAAAAACAAATCTCTCGTCATGTGTATTCAATATGCTTAGTTTATTCTGCCTCCTGCTTGATAACTGCTCTTCTTTGTCACTTCCTCCCCATATCTTGCAAACTGATCCCAATGAACTGTGCAGCTTAGATACGTGCACTTTAATTTCAGGGGAGTGTGACCACACTGCTGGAGCACTGCCCTTTCCATGGGGGCTTCACAGTAATAACTCAAGATAACATGCCCTCTCTGCTTAGTTTAAGCAATATCTTGTCTTGAGACCACCGTGGAGTTCGGAGAAAGGAACTTTTGCAATCTTGGAGTAGAACTCCCCATCCGAAACCATGGAAAGAGGGGCTACGTCTTTCCCATAGATCACTATCTCTAGGAACACAGTGAGGGAATAGATGAAAAAGGTCAGTGTTAATGCCACTATGTGGAGGGAGCCAGCCTGACGACAGAGGCAGCTTAGCTGGATCCAGAGCTGAGAATGAGGTAGAGAGAGACACACACACACACACACACACACAGAGAGAGAGAGAGAGAGAGAGAGAGACAGACAGACAGAGACAGACAGGCACCTAGGTATGGTTGCAACTCTTGAACCTGTGGATGCAAATGTAATATTATACATTGAACTGAAAAATAGAGATGGTAAGATTTCCTGAGTATTTCTGTTATTGTATTAGAATTCCTTAATTACAGTGCTTGTAACTGGTATTCTAGATAAGTATAAGATACAGCAGATAAGCTTTCAAAGGTTTCATGCATAAACAATACATTTTATATTCCTGACTCGCTTTCCCCACTACGCCTACGCTTTTATATTTGTTTCGTTAGCATTGAGTTTGTAAAGCTTGCAAACCAAACCATTCTTACTAATATAAGTGCTTTTTACATTTCACATGGCTGTTTTCCATTAGAAATATGCTATAAAAACTGACTGCTTAAAGGAACAGTGGGTAAATTCTTTCTAAATGTGATGATATATTTTCAAAAAATAGGAATTTTATATATATACTATATTATATATATATTACATTATTACATATTTCTGTTATACATATGTTTAGATATTCATATAAAACAAAATAAGACTTTTCTTTGATAACATTTGTGTTTTAGTCTGTTCAGACTGCTATAACAAAATACCCAAAACTGGGTGGCTTATAAACAATAGAAATGTGTTTCTCACAGTTCTAGAAGATGAATGTTCCAAGATAAGTAACTAGCAGATGGTGTGTGTTGAGTCCCTATTTCCTAGTTCATAGATGACACCGTTTTGCCCTGTCCTCACATAGTGGAAGGGGCAAGGGAGCTCTCTGTGACCACTTTGATAAGGGCACTAAACCCATTCATGAGGCTCCACCCTCAGGACCTCCTCCCCTCCCAAACACCCCACATCCGAACACCATCACCGTGGGGGATAGGATTCAACAAATACATTTTTGGGATGGGACACAAACATTCAGACCGTAACAATCTGAAAACATAATTCAAAATAGCCATCCTTTAGAAGAATAATTTATTTATGACTCAGTATATCTGATAATATATGATAATCTTTAGGTCTTTTAACATGATATTGAAACTAAGTATCAAACTATTTCTATTAAAGAGTAACATTTTTAAAATGTGACATTTATTTTATAAGCTTCATTTTAATTTAATATGTGAAGGA